GGCGTGGTACAAACTTAGACAGAAGGAAATGGAAACTGTGTTATTACCGTCTGACTTTCCGTCTTTGAAATTGAAACATCTAGGTTAGGCTAAACATAGGATAGGCCCACACCGTGCCGATTTTACAGCCACTTAGTGTAATAAACTTTCTTATTGAAGCACTGTATTTTAAATATTGTTGTACAGTAAAAAGTTTTCAAAGTTAATAAATTTTGACAATAAAAACACACTTATTAATAAAAAGATAATTAATTTGCAACTTAAAAATTAGCACTAGGCCTAGTTAATAAGTTACTAAAATATGAAAATTTGGATTTACAAACATATTTAGTCAAACATTTGTAACGTAAAAAAATTGTAACCTGTAATATTTTAGTGTAGCTTTTCATTTCCATATTGCTCAAGTCTGTGTCAAAAGAAAAGATATTTTTTTATTTTAATTTCAAAACATATATATTTTATAGCCAAACAAAACAAAATAAAAAAGGTACCGGCTGAGTGACAAGGTTCATAAATCTCTCACAAGATGTCGCTTACGACGTGGAATGCCTAAAAAACTCAAAACAAATATCTATAACAGATATATAGATGAATGTCGTTGACTTGCTAACTCGACCTGTAGCTTTTAGTGGACAGAGCGGCGGCGGTACGGTACGGTACACCTTGGTCACAGGTTCATTCAAGTCCTGTCGAGTCGAAGGAATTTTTCTTTGTGTTCGACCTATATAAAAATTATAACAAACTAATGGAGTTATTTTTCTAAAAATATTATAACATGAATATCACGGTAATTAAACAATAAAAAAAACAAAAACACTTAAAATGTCAAATCGACAAAATATCCCCGTTATTACTACAATCATTTTTAATACAAATTCCCACAAGAAGAATATGTGAGAAATCTTAGAGATAGCTCTTGGTTCATATTTAGTATTCTATGAATGTCAAATGTCTAAATTTATTTAAATAATAATAATATAATATTTATAGGAGCAACCTAAAAGAACCAAAGGAATCATTACAATTTGATTTGCGATTTCTGGCATTTCGAGTACTCTTACCTCAGTTGGTCCCATAGACACTGTTGATCCTTACCAGAGACCAGATCGAATGGCATAAAAGGAAGTTTTGTAAAAATTGCCTTTTATCTTTCTGACTGTACCATTTTTTCAAAATCTGTGAATGCCAATAAAAATTATTAATAGTCTTGTAGAACCGTTTTTCTTTAACTACAACGATTAAGGCAGCCAGTCTTGCTGACCCGTCTCAAATTCATACCTTGTGTATAAAACAACAAATCATTGGTCCAGAGGAACAGTGATTTGAACTTTGAATTTGAACAGAATCAAGTCAAAAATACAAATTTTTTAGGAGAGCAATTTAAAAATTTCTTTTATAATTATTTCAGCCGCTATTGTTATGTGGTTCTCCTCACCTATATGTATTTAAAGCCTACATTTAACAGTATTTTCGAATACTTCTTATTCTTATTCAGTTCCTTAGTTTTGATAAAATCCATCAATTGTTCAGAGAGGTCTATAATATTACCCTTTTGAACATAAAATATTTATGATTGAAAGTTTTAATTGAACTATTAATGCTTAATACTATTAAACGAAAGAAGGATAATATTCATTTCGATAAAACTTTGAGGAACATAGTAGTATCTCAAAAAATACTATATATTATATATTACCATTACAATGAAATGAAAAAAGTCCCAAAAACCGCATTACCTTGGAATAATCGTCTTCATTTTAGAAATAAATATTTTTAAAATACACTTATAATGAACAATTTTAATACCTTGTTCAACGGACGACGTCGACTTGACGACTATACCTTCGTGTTATGAGGTAATACCTATGGGTAATACTGAATACGACTGTGTTGCTCAATGTTTGGGGCCAAAACGTGAAAAGTTCAGAGATACTACTCTACCTCCCGCGCCATTTCACATCCGATCGTTATAAGACCTTGTTTATTAGAAAGTTTTCGATGTATTTTCAATAGAACTGCATTTTAAAATAAAAAGCCTAAATTTTTGAGTTGATGCCCTGTTCATCCAAGGCAACAAAGTATGTCAATCATATTCCGTTCTACGCAAAACGATTACATAACTTGGGACGAAGTTTAGACATAACTTTGATGGTTATTCGCCTAGTCTATTCGAGCTGCATAATGGAACTTCAGGATCATAATAGACTTGCGAACTAACCAAGTTATACATTGTGTTCTACTATATTTAAGTGAATGGAGATGGAGCATATGTCTTTACTATTTTATTCTGATTGTGTACTACTTAATTTTAGTCTGCCTATTGCTACTTGTTCTCATTAGTAAATTCTATATCGCTTATTTTGGTTGTATATTTGACCATGTGTTCGTATCCATTATAAAGAACAAAGGCAAATTCGTGAAGATGCAATTCTATCGTGTCAAACCAAAATACTGCAACGCTCATTACAGTGTTTTGTATCAACTAAACTAACGGGTAAACCACGTAATTAAGATTTTTTTCAAAAGAATAAACATTTATTTATTTATTTAAGTTGAAATATACAGGTAAAGTACAACAAAAGCTTGAATGTTAGAAACTAAAATTAGGATTAAATTATGTTAATAAAATTGGGTCCCCGCGGCAAGGTGCCCAAGATGCTGGCAGCGTTCCCGCTTTGTATAGCTACGTTAATGCATTGGGCAAGGTAGCTCCCGGTCCTTGCGTTTCTTAGACAATCTATTATTTTTTTAAGTAGTTAAGATGTATTTTTGCTCGACATGTTTCGAATCATTCCGTGGTTCTTAATCATGAGATTCAGCAGCGGTGGCTCGACGGAAACTGCGCGCCGAAGCCCGCAATGTATTCACTACACAAATAACTTATGTAACCAAATCTACTAACTTGTATCGATGCAGTTGCGCGTTTGCATCGATGCAATCGCCTACAAATGTCAAGTGTAGCGTTCCACGAACGCGCGTTTGCGCTATCGTACTCACGTTCTACCCTAACCAGTCTCAATAGCACACAAATTGCCCTAATAACAATAACTTATGTCAAATAAGCAACATGAAAGCCTCCTGTTCCGATCAAAGTATGTAAATGGCCAAGTGTAGTTCATAAAATGTGTGGCGTCATATGGCGTCAGTCGACGTCTCGCCGCAGTGTCGGAGTCCCGACAAGGACAACCCAGCGCCAACCAGACGCCTCCTTAAAAATAATTTGTGTTTAGTAAGATCCATGACTCGATTTGTTAATATCTTATTTATTATTTTGGACTTTTGCAAGGGAAATTGAAAATTGTGGTTTAATACGTAAAGTTATAGGAAAAACTCCGAAAACAACTTGAAGGTTTTTTTTTTGTAATATCAAGTGACGGTACGAACCAGTCGTGCGCCTGATGGTAAGCTACACTTGCCTACGTTCTGTACATAAGAGTTGCAGTGCCACTCAGAGCTTTAAGTCGCTTTAGATCTGAGGGGCACTGCGCCCGTCACCCTGAAACATAACGCATCCCTCATGGAAGAATGGCATAATGGAGTTTTGTCACAAACATTTACTGTTCCATTAGATACAGAAAAATATAACCCACATCCTTTCCAATTCTTGTAACTCTATCGACTAATATTGTATAGGAGCAATAAACATTTTTGACGTTTTTTTTTTTTTTTTTTTTTTTTTTTATACCTGACAGGCAAATGACAAACGTAACTCCACTTATGCCATTCTTCCATGAGGGGTCAGATAAGTTGACAAGTCTCGTATGCCTGTAATTTCACCAGCACCCTTACCCTTTAAAACCGGAACACAGTATTGCTGACATTTCTGCTTGGCGGCAGAAATAGGTAAAGTCAGTCAGGCAGTACTTCCCTGGACGAACTCTTTCATAAGAAGCTCTACTGTTTCTCTTGTATTTTCATTGAAAAGATATTTTAAATAAAAAAAGTCTCACAAAATTACTACATTGAGTAGTTTATCGGTTAAGATACGGGTTTAGTACGTAGTAGACGTGAACGTATTTTGCTAACAATGTACATGCAAAAATAATTTTTAACATTTTTCTCGAGTAACGAGAAAGAAAGAAGTTAGGAATGGAAATGCGAAATTGCGTTAATGATATCCTGAATTTTGCATAACGTTGATAAATTTATACAATGTGCGTTTTATCTTGTGCGGCGAAATAAAATTTAAAAAATCTAGTGTTCGTTCTTAATGCATCTTAGTTAAACCGTAACAACACATATTATTTATTCTATGTACAAAAAGAAAAACACAACCAATAATAAAAGCTAGAACACAGGTACAACAGGCGGCCTTATTGATAGATAGCAATCTGTTCCAAGCAACCTCCGGGTTACGGGATAATTTTAAAGATAATTAACTGTGGGCGCAACAAATGCTGCTGAATATAAATTTAATACACATATTGCACTTACACTTATAATAGTAAACAAAATTCTTAAATTAACTTAAAAAAAAATAGATAAATACGTGTACTTAAAAGAGTATAAAAACACATAACATGTATTAAAAACAGAGTCAGAAGAGGAGAAAACATTAATTAAATTGTTAACATTTTTAATACAAAGATCGAACACTAAGAAAAATTCCTTCGATCCGGCTGGATTCAAACCAACGTCATCAACATACCGTGTCTGATGCTCTCCTAACTGAACTACGGAACGAACCAGCAGAACGACTGTAGCGCCATCTGTGAGAATTCTATATAGTAATATATATATATAAAGTATAGTAATGTATATCGTGGTAGTAAAATATGGTAGTAAAACGTGATATTCAATGAAACTTAATATAATAATTGGATTATAATAACTTTGTTGGACTTTTCTACTATATATCATACCACATTTATGCTATAAGTATTTATTGTTATATCAAAATCAAGGACGTCACGGCAATACCCCCAACATGTAACCGTTAATAGAAAACACATCCTTATCGGCATTGCGAATGGAGTTGCATTCAAATAGTTTCACTTCAGTATCCCTTTGAACCAGTGAACGATGCACAATTGTAAATAATTAAATATTAAGACTGAAGAATGCACCAAATTGTAGACCAAGTGTTAAAGTGTGTATTGTGTGTATGAGGTGACTGTGCCTTTGAGAGAATCATGACGTCGTTGAAGCATGGTGTTAACCTTTCAAGACGGGCGTGCAGGCGGGGCCTTATTTTGGTGGCCCTCATGACTCTGCCACTTATCTGCTGCAATCCTGTTGAAGTAAGTATCATTTTTAATCATTTTTTGAATTATTTACCAAATTTAAGTTATCTTTATTTCATTAGTAAGCAAATTTGGAATTTTCAAATTGATTAAAACACTCATTGGTAACGCATACTCTCCTGAGACTAAGAATTTCAATATGTTGCTTTGATATTTGTTCATATTTATCATTTACAATTTCTTTCTAAGTAACATACAGACAATTCGAAAGACGTAAACGTATCATTCACATGACTTTATGTCATCGAGTAAGTAGAAAATGTGTAACTTTACAATAATGTTTTTGATAAAACTTCGCAAATTTCAAATATCAACAGGGATCTTATTAGGGAAGCGTATGCATGAATATGACTGTCAAGAATTGTTATGTTAACACTATTCATCTTAACATTACTCCAATTTTTAGGGATGCTTAGTAGTTTTCTTCATGCTTTCCCCACCTTAGCTCAGTGGACGACTGTTCGCCCACCATATCTGGTCATAAGACCTGCCGGAATCCAGTTGTTCGCCTCTTTGGATTGCCCATTTGGCGACTTTGGGTTGCCATGTTCCAATGATAGCAATGTCGCTGTATGATCTTCTTCTTGAGGTGCCATCTCCTACCGGAGGTGGGCTATCATTATGGCAATTTGGGTCCGTGAAGTTGCGGCTCGGAGCAGTTCTGTGGTACTCATGTTAAACTACCCTGTAAGATTTTGAAGCCATGCGGTTTTTCTACGACCACGTCTTCTGCGGCTCTGGATTTTTCCCTGCAGTATGAGTTGCAGTAGAGCATCTTTGTGCATCCTCCTTGTTGTCATTGATGACTCTATCCGTCCACGATATTTTCCAAATTCTTCGATAAACCCACATTCCGAAGGGTTCTAACCGTTTACATAACATCTGAGTTAGTGCTGCTGTATGAGCTGTATGATCCGAGACTGCATATTCAGTATTCGCAACTAACCATATCCAATTGCCGTTCACTGTCCGCCACATGTGACCGCGCTAGTAGCCTACAGGTTCGCTTTGACTAGTTCTGCTAAACACAAATGAAATTTTCATAAATGTAACAAAAGTGTAAACTTATCTCGCAGCGGCACTATGGAGCACTTTTATTTTAATAAATGTTAATATCGTGAGCCGACCTCGAGGTTACCATGTTTGATTTTTTCTCATTTTTGCCATTTCTGCCAGCCGGCTATTTGCGGTCCGCATTGTAATTGGGCGTAGCGACTCTCCGAACCCGATCACTGAAATACAATTTGTGAAGGTTGAGGTTACGGCTCGCTACACCATAATGGCGAAGTTTCCTGACCACGTTACGAAAGGACGAAAGGTTACGAAGTATGCCTATGGCATTGTGCGAGCAGACCCGTGCATCAAATACCAAATTGTGTTTCATCAGTACATCACACATCGGTAGTAGTTTATACATTTGTTAAAATCGTTAGCTAAATAAAGAACAGCGCAATAAAAAATGGAATCATTTTATATTGAGAGTGTAATATTTTCTAAAATATACTAAAAGAATTAAGAATGTCGAATGACCAATGGTCGTTGTAGGTCAAGCTATTTTTGGTACAACAGGCAGATATAATATGAATATGACTTTTTTTAACAAATAATTATTCAATTGTCCCTGTGTTTCAATACAACGTATTATTAGGTCCTTAATTTACGTATTTGAGTCTGAATATATTGTATAAACAATGTATATAATACAATATCACGTATTAATAACATACAATTGGATTAAATAACTAACTTTAGTTAGGTATTTGGGGAGTTTAATAACCAATGGCTCAGATGTGTTTCGGCATTCTTTCAAGTATCTCAATGGGGAAAAAAGCTTTTAACCTAAGTTTTGAAAAAGAATGGAGGGAATCAAGAGGACGGAAAGGAGGACATGTAAAAAATAGTGAAGGAAAAGCGAAGCTTATTATTATTAAATACAATATGATAGATAACCGAAGGTGAAAGATGTTTAGTTTATCAGATACGTCACGAGAGGAGATTTAGAAGCATTATAGAAGGGAAGATCAAAGAAAGAATGTCCGAGGAGAAACAAGATGAAATTATTAAATCAGATAAGGAAAAAAATTAATGTGACAATGTGAGAGAGTCAGTATCAGGTAATCAAAATTAAGGCGCTGAACAGAGATGATTGGTTATTACTCCACCGATAAGAGCCCTAGCTCTTAAATATAGATAGTAATGTAATATTAATAAAAAGAAGAAGTTATATTCGTATGGATACACTTTTATTAATTCAATAAAAATACGGAATTCCAACAAAATTCTACTCTCAAAATTAATTAAATAAAACAATAATGTACAATAATAATGAAATAAATGGAATACTTTCTTTTCCTAGTTGCTAGACTTCATGAGTTGTACCAGGCCATGTCGTCGTAATACAATTATGTAATTATTTGTCTATTTATCACCTCTATATGATGCATCCAGTGAAATACGTTGATTTGAGATATTCTCTTGCAATGGGTTTAATACTAACCCAGATAATGCGATTTGCATTGCATTAATTAGGTTTTATTTTATTTGTTTCAAATTTTGAGATTTACTGATAATGATTTACTGAAAATTTTAATGACTTAAAACGTTTAAAATTTTTATACGTTCAAAAACTAAGGAAATACTTGTTAGAACGAATCGCTGTTGACGGATAAATCCTTAGTGGTTTTTTGAGCTACAGCTGCATGTATGTAATAAACCATTGTAAAATGTTTTAAATAAATTTAAAAAAGTTAATAAGTTATATAAAATTAAAAATAAACGCTGCATAGCAACATAAATGAGAAGATTATTTTAAAATAGTATATTTATTGCTTTAATATAATTTACAAGAATACATAAAAATAATTTTATTACAAAACTATAGTAAATATGAACAACAGCCAATAATGATTTGTTCACTAAAATTTAGCTAAAATATATTCGACAAATGAGTTTTTTTATTATTATAAAGAGAAGATAATAAGACAACAATTTAGAGAAAAAGCACAAAAGTTTAAAAATACAAATGTTTAAATGTATATAAATTTACCCAAGCTTCAAATATGTTCAGTCCAAATCAAAATCCATAAAATCCAGATGCTGAGATCTTAAGATTCCAGAACTGGGTAAAGGAAACAAGGTCAAAAAGAATTCACATAAGTACTATACAGCGAACAAAACAAAAAAGGTACGTGGCGAACCGACGGAGAGAATGAAATAAACGAGCTAATACGTTGAATGTTTGAAAAATGAAAGGAGATAAGAAATAACGTACGTGCCAAATAGCGAGTGAGACGATTTAGCAACATGAAGCGTCTGTCTCAGAATAAAGCGAATGATACGTAAAAGAGTGAAAGGTAGGCAGCTATAATGCTTAAATTCTTTTTTTTATATAATGTAAGTGCGCATTTGACCTCCACCTCACCTAAGGGAAAGTGACGACGAGGTCGACGATGGCGCATGCACACCTAAATAATGCCTGTTCACTCTCCCCTTGAAAAGGCCCAAGTTATAACGTTCAGGGAACAAGTCTGCAGACAGGGAGTTCCATAGCCGTTCGCCATTTCTTTCTATCATTCGTATTGTTCCTTCAAGAAAAATGTACGGTACTGTGTAATGTATGTAAATATCGTTCACTTGAAAAGGGGTTGGCAATCTCGAGATCTCGTAATCATATCCTATATCATAAACTATAGGGTACCGGTAAAATTACAGGCACATGGGATTTGGCAACTTATGTCCCAAGGTGACAGGCGCAGTGGTAGTGCCCCTTAGATCTATTGCTATTTAAAGCTCTGAATGGCAGTTCAATTGTTGTGGACAGGCGTGTCCCTCACCTACAGGTGCACGACTTCATCGTCCCGTCACCTAAAACTTACAATTTAATGGTAAAAATTGAAAAAAGTCTGTAAAAAATATTTTCCTAAGCTTTAGCAATGTCTACATCTGTTTTCACAATATGATCATTGATTTTTAATAGAGAATCCACGAGGTTAGCCGTTTCAGTAAATTGACGTCGTTTGCAATGTTAAAATTTATATTGTAATATTTATATACATTGTTTTAGCTTCAATACTATTTCAATACAAATAATTTAAGCATGTACTGTTATGATTTTCCAATGTCATCGAATTACTTAATTGCACTGAAAACATATTCGATTGTAGTTTCACTAGGTCGGAAATAATATTATGTATATTCATTGTAGCCGTTACAATAAAGACAGTAATCACGATGACCGATTTGTGTAACAAGTATCGATTTTAAAAGTCGATAAATAATTTCTGAATGTATTGTATTTGTAACCTGTAAGGCCCATTTTGGCGGCAAAGTTCCAAATGGTCACAATAATGACACGTAAACAAAGATGTCCTATATAATTACGTGTTTGACAGAATGTTATTAAAATTATACTAATTACTTTTCTAGTGGTAGTAATACCTAATGTAAAATTGTTATGTGTGTTATTATTAACTGCCTCCGTGTCACGCAGACGTCCCGGGTTCGATTCCCGAGCCGGGAGAAATATTTCTATCACCTCCATTTATTTATCTCCTGAGTTTGGGTGTAATTTGTGGTTATCTACCTACGAGTATGTGTGTGTTCATGGTACTAGCAATATGCCTCGCCAACTCGCGAAAAATCCTTCGTGCCGGTTGGATGAAAGGACCCGATGGCCACTCCCGGGGGGATTCGGGCGTCCCCGCGCGCTCTAGTCTAGTTTCCCATCGGGCGGCGTACCATATAAGGTATGCACCGCATGACTTTCAGTGTAGTGTCTCGTCCAACTGCCTTCGCTCTCCCCATTCACTCTACCCCTAATATGAAAAGGTCAAGGAAATTGAGGAAGGCTAAACAGCGGATGCACGTCCTTTCACTTAAAGTGCTCCTCTCAAACATCCAAGATTTGCACTCCAATCTCTCATCTGTCCACCACCATCTTGAGACTGAAAGGCCTCAACATGCTCTTCCTCACGGAGACCCAAATTAGATGTCCTTCC